CCACCACTTCCAGGAAGAGTTCCAGACACAGCTGAGTGCTAGGTGACTCAGGGCACTTCCAAAGGTCTCCTACTCCTAGCTCAAGTCAGCCAAGAATAGAGGGAAGACTGAACTTGGAAACCACCCACTCCTCCCACTCCTCCCAAAGTGCCAATGCCAAAACTCGCATCCCCGGAAATGTTGTAAGGTCAAAGTAGTGCCTGGAGGTTTGAAAGGTCCTGTGATTCAGGCAGCAAACACGGTTGTAGTTCCTGAAGCCATCTTCCAGGAGTATACTTGTAGATAATAGGGTAAATGTCATCGGGATGGAAAGATGACATATATATACACAAACCTATGTATCCAACATGTGTAGTTATGTTTATATAATGAATACACATACATAATTTACGTAGTATTAAAATGTATATGTAGCAGAATCAAGTTAACATTTTGTGTTATTTTGTCTAACTAAAAACAAAAAATATGAGTGAATACATAAAAATTTAATTTCCTTTGTACCCAGTTCCAGGTCTTTGTCCCACAGCTAGGAGATAAAACTAGCATGAATTTAGCCCTCCCTGACTTTCAATTGTCTTTTTTATTTTCACTTTGTCTCTGAATTCAGTCTCTCCCCGCCACCATCCCCATCCCCTGCCACCTACTATCAAGGGCCAAATTATCCCTATTCTTTTCCATGCAGCTTCCCTTAGCAGAGCAGTATTGTACTGCCTCTCCTGCACGGGTCATCACCTGGAGTGGAGGATCAGACAACTTTCTCACTTGCACTACTGTTGCTAGCAGTTGTGAAGCCCCTCTCAGGATTCCTGAATGAATCACTGAGGAAAGGCTCCGGTATGGTTGAGATGTATATGGTTCCATTGTGTACCTACTGCTTCAGGCACTGCCCTCAACCCCTGGTCACCATAGCAACAGGCATGAACTTCACCTATCTGGCCCCAACTTCCTATTGAGCCTGACTGTGTCCAAGGTGCCAAAGCCAACACGACCTTCTCCCACTCCCAGCCCACCGGGGAATTCTTCTGTCATGTGCTATGACTAACAAGCAGGACACCTCAATTCCTTGCCTGTCTCCCCAAATTAGGCCATTATACCAACCTATTTCCACAGAAGAATGGAGACGTGGTATCTGCCAACAACAAAAAAGTGTTTTTTCTCGCCTTAACTATCTCTTCATGTGCATTGCTTTTCAGTTATAATCAAACCCTGTTCAAATAAGAACAGCAGCAATGGAGCATAAAGGTGTTTCATTAGACTTTGGCATAGTCTTCCTCCAGGTAGGAGGAAGACATTAGACCTGAGACCTGTGGCTGGCATGTCTTTAAATGTTCACCTTCCATGCTTTCTTTCAGAAACTCCTGGCAAATATGCTTATTGTAAAATATTATTGTAAAATACTAGAAACAATTTTTTCATTGCTCTAAAAGAGAGCACAAGTGGCTAAACAAACATATAAAAGGATGAGTTTACATGTTTTATTATGTATTTGAAGAGCATAAAAATGCATCCAAGATGGAGTGTGCTGCTATTTGATGAAAGAATAAGTCAGTGGTTGAATATTAAATCATTGCTGTTACCTTTTTACGTATACTTCTTAGAGTCAACCCACATGGAAAAGGTGAACCTAGGATGGGAACACACTCATCCTCCACTCCCTTACCCCCTGGGCTTGCATAATATTTACTCTAGAGAGTAGGGTGTGCCCAGTAATGAGCAAGAACAGCAATTATGGGTAGAGGCCAGACTTCAAAAGAAGGGCCAAAATAAATGTTGTAAAAACTAAAATTTAGTTGGAGATAGTGGGCAAAATGTAAATAGTAGCAAAAAGTTATTTGAAATATTCTTTGCTGGTTACTGGTTATAACAACAAATTACCAAAAATTATTTGTCTCAGATTTATTCCATTCTTATTTTTTTCAGTTCAATCACCATGTGTCTTTGGTATAAACAAAAACAAACGGAGATAAAACTAAGCATCAAATATTTTATATACCTCTATAAGAGACATTTAGTAGAACTCAGCTGAAATTGTAAACTAGCACAACTGGCATTGGAAATTCAACATATAGTATAAAAATTCCTAACTAGTCATCATCATGATGAATTTCATAAGCCACAGTACAGTAATTGTGCTAATGAATTAAGACTGACAAAATTATCGAATAAATATACCAGTATTTCAGTCTCTTTCATAGTAACTTCAGCTCTTGAATGTTTAGTTAAACTTTATGTTTATCTACTAAGACTGTTTCTTTCCAGTGGTTCTATCCATTCCATTCTTTTTCAAAATGGCACATGGGTAGAGAAAAGCTTTCTGTGTTGCCAGATCCTCTCACTCCCTGTCCTCCACCTGCCGTCCCACTGAAGTCTGTGCTATGAGTCTAAGCCAAGCCTCTAACTGGGCACTGGGCTAGGCTGGTGACACTATACTCTGCTAAAGATCACCACTCACTCTGCACAATGGTTCTGTAGACAGACCATTGCTGCTCTTGCTATCCACTTTCCATTTTCCCTGGGGTGCAGATGGAAACTTCTAGAGCTCCCCAAGATACCCAAAGTCATTGAAAACTGCCAAATTATATCTCCCCTCAAGTTTTCCAAAGTTTAGCATAGGCTTACTGGAATTCTACTCCAGTACTACAGAGAAATACATTATCAATGATCCACAGATCTATTACTCTTCCTCATCGTTTGTAATTAAAAACAAGGATAACTATCTTAAGTATCCTTCATAAGGTAAATGGAATGTGTAAGAGGTGAGTAAGGTGTAGCTTTAACTGATAAAGGAATCAATTAGTAAATTTGTAAATATATATTTCTGCAAAAACTGTAGTTACACATTTTCTGTAGCTATATATAGCATGCATATAAACATTCATAGAAAAAGGTCTGGATGGAAAGAAAACTGGCACATCTAGGAAGGATACTGGGAATGAAGGTGATTGTCAAAAGCTAAAGGGTAACATACTGTTACAAATAAAATGTAATCATATAGTAGCTTCGCAATTTATATTTGTAAAAAGGCAATATGCACAGCTTGATACATTTTAAGAAAAAATACATACACATTATCTTTTGTATTTCTTTTCCCCTTCTTTGATGGCAAATACCCAGGGATGGTACTGGAAAAGTATCTGCCAAAATAATGCTGTAATATTATCTAAAGATATCTCCAATAAAAGCAATATAATCAACTTCAGTATTCTCATTTAAAAAGAAAATCCAGTTCAAGATCTATCAAAGCAATGCAACTTCAATTTAGAAATCTCATTATTTTACTTATTTACAACCTATGCAAAGAACATAATTGTATATAGAATCTTGCATTTCTTTTGAATATAACACTTGAGGCCTTGCCTGGTGGTGCAATGGGTTAGAAAGTAGCACTGCAAGCTAGCTGCAGCCACTTCAGTGTCAGCTCCACCCCTGCCTCGGAGGTGATGGCACAGCAGACCTCTCTTGACTTGCCCGGTGCTCCCCTCAGCAGTGTACTTTGTTGATCCGCCTGTTCTACTCCCACTGTCTGTGGTGAATCCTCTCACCATCCCTGCAACTCTGGCCTGTACCCCAGTTCTGTATGCATAAATAAATTTTTTTTAAAAAAAAGAACTTGTCCACTAACAACCCAGGAAGTAGCTTTAAGCCAGTAACATTTCCAAAAGAAAAATATGAGGGTACAATACCATAGACTTATTTCCTTAGTAGTTCACCAATTCTATTTTACATCATTAAAAAAACAAAAAAAAATTATGCTTAACACCATCATTGATCAAGTCCTTGTGGAGAATGTTCATTCTGGAGATAGCTGTGTAAAAACATCTGACCCTAATTAAGTGAGGGAGGTACTGATATTCAAATCTAACCATTTTATGAACAACAGTTTTCAGTGTACAGACTAAAAGTTGCTTCTAGATCACTGTGCTCTTAAGAATTCCATATTTTTAATTTATATTACTAAAGTCTTGAACCATGAAAAGATGGCTGAGAAATGATGATGAGAAAAGAGAAATTCCCAGAGCTATCTTGTTTCGCAATGTGGTGAGAGAAAAGTATAGTCAGAAGTATCTTCCCAAATATAAAGGTCATCAGTGAGGAAAAGCCTCTCAAGAATCCCATCTATGTAATTTGGAATTTCCCTCACCTCTCTTAGGTGTCTAATCAATGTTTTCCTCCAGCAATATACCTTGTAAAAGTGGCTCTCACAGTCCAAATAAAAGAACAACATCCTTTAGAAAAGTTACAAGGAGAAGAGCACTGGGCAGAGTTAAAAGAAAATCTGGATCCACCCTAAAATCCAGGTGGACATTAGCAGCTTCCTTCTCTGCAACAAGAGAAGCGTCATGTCTAACACACTGTTAGCGCTCCGTGTCAATGACCCATGTTTTCATCAAAAGCCAACAAAGGGGATACACACAAATCCCTTTCTGTGGGTGTATTGTGTTTTTTTTTCTCTTTTCTTACATCATTATTCATTTTTGTACAATACTTGGTTTCTCCATTCAACCGTAAGTCTCCGTAATTCTCCCCCATCACCCATGAGCTATCACTATAGTCCCTGTGTTCTTCCCTCTCCCGCTTTGATCCCTGTTTCTCCTACTTGCTGTATGCCTCATATCTAAGGCGTACTTGCAAGTTTTGAGGTCATTTGTTTTGCTTCAAATAATTATTTTTCTATCTATACTACATATCAGCTTGATCTTTGCTTTCATTCAGCAATTCCTTACACAAAATACTCAGCTTCTCTTATGTGATGGACATTCAAACAACCTCATTTGGTGATGACAATTCAAAAAAAGTCATATACATGTAATTAAAACAAAAATAGGGAAGCAACTCATTGAGTAATTCTTTTACATCTTTAAAACAAATGAGAGGTATAATTCCTTTGGCAGAAGGGAGTAAGCATTTAAAGTAGAGAATTACTGACTAGTTAGTAATACTAGCATTCACTTTCTTTTCACACTGAAACATGGAAAAGAAGGTATGAATGAATGAGTTAAATTGAATCCATTAATTTATTTAGTTACAAATTAATTTTATAACAAAGCACTTTTTATATAATTTAAAACACACATGCTTTGATTGAAGAGTGACTGTAAATGGATCCAGTTTTCGTCCACCTGTGATAACAACTTTGTCATTTCTTCTATGAGTACAGGCTCTGAAGGAAGCATTTTAAGATGTAACTAAAAAAACAAAACAAAACAAAACATTTTTTGATTAAATTTTTCTTAAGTGCTGATTTAATGCCATCTAATTTCTCTTTTCTCTATCATTTTTTGTTAGTATGAGTCCCCTGTGGGACTGTGACTTGTACAGTAGAACTGAAATGAAGATGACCACTTTCTTCCACCTAGAACTGTCCTGATATAGATCCAGAAGAAACTTATTATTCTAACACTTACTCCTTATTTTTGAGCTTGGTACATTTCTTCTTTCATTGTAAACCACAGGTAATGAACAACAAATGCTCCCTTTGTTGTATTTTCCAAAGATTTAATAAATTTACATTCAGTAAGTATATAAAAATACAGAAATAACTTTTGATATTTCTGTATTTTTACTCTGTGTGCTATTACCTACATGTAATCACATCAAGACATTTTATTTTAATATTAGTAGGCCAGAGGAAGAATCAAATCTACTATCACTGAAAATCAGTGTCATCTACCTTCAACATACACAAAACTATTAAAATAGACATGAATAGTGTATCAGTCATAAAGGAACTGTTATTGCCAAATCACTTGAAACTCCTTCAATAAGGATAAAACTATCAAGAAATACCTTGATCTCATCAGTAAAACAAAACAAAATACATAAAATCTGACTTCCTCTTCATATTTATTAAAAAAAAAAACCTACCAAAATGTTCCTTAAAAAGCTAATGTTTCAGTATGCTAGATCAAAAGGAGAGGATTGAGACAAAATTGTGCTGAATTAAAAAAACGTAGAGAAAGAGTAGTCATTAGGCACAAGTGGTTATTTAAATTTAAGTTAACTAAATTTCTATAAAATTAAAAATTCACATAGTAATCACATTAAGCCACATTTCAATTTCTCTGTAGCCTTATGCAGCCAGTGGCTCCCTTACTGAAAAGAACATTTCCATCTTTGCGGAAAGTTCTACTCGATAGCACTGTAACTGGGGGCAAACTGGAAAGTACTGTTTTGCATAAGACTTACCTTTAAAAACAGTGCAAGGTATGCTTGTGCTAATTCAAAATCACGCTTTTTATCCAATATCACCCCGATCATTTTTAAGAAGCTCTGCATGACTTCTACAGACCCACCACAATCAGGAGACAAGCTTCGCAGCTCTGTTTCAATCCCTGATGGGCCTAATTCTTTCAGAAGGTTAAAAGCAGCCATATCTGCATTAAATTTTAAAAAAGAATCAAGTTATTACTACAATCACTACACTTGGGAAACTACTGCTTTCATTTCATATCTTAAGCCACGTGTATTTAAATTATATAGGAAATTAATTTTGAGGATTCATTTTTCCTTTTAAGTAGAACAAACCCAAAATTAAATAAAAATCAGTATAAATGATGAGGGCAACACAAATTATTAAAAGTGCTAAATATGTTGTAATTTTTTACAATTTAACCTTTTTTTCCTGCTGATTAAAGCTGAAGAAAATCTAACTACTCCCTTACAATAGGTATTTAAAACATGCTCATAAGTCAGTAATGAAAAAAATCCAAATATAAGATATAAAAGTGCATAGTAAACTATTAATAGTAACCATTGGGAATAGGATGGGGTGGGGAAATTTATTTTTCTTCTTTTTCTTATAGAAATTATGGAAGTGCCGTGTAATCAGTAAAACACTAACAACATATGAATATATAAGAAGGGAAAGAATCCACTATGTTCTTACCTACCCTAAATTTTCCTGAAAGTACGTACTATCATAAGAGCACACTACAAATATATTATCCAGGTACTTAACTACTATTTTTTTATATGAGGAATTTGTATTACAATGGGAATAACTATACATTTCACTTTCTGAAAAGAAACATAACAAGTCTAAGAAATCTTACTTACTATCTTCTAGTATATACTGAAAGTATTTTTTCATTTGTGCCTTTCTCACATAAATATAACAAGTTTCTTCTTCTATCATCGTGCTACTCTTTAGTGATGTACAATGGCCCAAAGTACCATTATTTGACTTTACTTAAAAGATACTGGTACAAAAGCAAAAGCATTTGGATCAGACAGCAAGATGAAAAGTCAAAAAGGAGAGTGCTGTGATTTTGTTAACTGCTATTTATCATTATTGGCTAGAAACTATTTATAATGAATAATTTATCATCTTCCATTTATTATATTAAATATATAATACAGTACAGCTAATATTTTATCATTATTTGTTACTATGTATATTTATAATGATATTATTCGCTATACACTATAAAACATTTCCTTTTTCTAGAATAATTTGGGACTATCCAAAATTTCTTAAGACAAAGCCTCTGAAAGATTCTCAATAAATTATGGCATCTGTCTTCTGAGTCTGGAGGCACTCTCATTTAACATCCAAAAGCTAAAGTTACTGCAGAATAAAACCAAAAATTTCAGCACTTTCAATTTTACCATCTTCTTTTAGTTACAAAAATATCTTCCAATATTTCATTTTTTTCTGTACATAAAGTAAAATACCTGAAGAGACTATATAATTTATAATTTAACTTACATTCATTATTTACCAATCCTTCTTCAAGTTTCAAGCAGAAATCTGATTTTTGCGCCAGAAATCCAAGATTTACCACTTTAGACTTAACAAAAAAATACACATTAGTCAAAGAAGACAAAAATAGTTTATATGAAAAGGGGTTTAGTTTATAATTAAAAGCAATCATTAACTTATTATAAACTGTTGAACTAGGTTTTGGTAAAGAAATAGAAATATACAATACAAAATAATCCATATGCTTAGAATGTTCCAATTTGATTTTTACCTTTTGGGGATCATTATTTTGCTCAGGTGCAGCAAATCTAGGTACGAGACCAGGAACCGTTGGAATGAAAAATGGTGCTGATTTGGGTACTTTGGGTGGTTCCTTTGGCTTATTCCTTTTCTGATTAAAGAAAATGAGAAAGACACTAGTAAATAATTACCTTATCAACAGTTTCCAATATTAAATTTCAAGCCAATTTTAAAACAAAGTCCAAAACTAAGAGGAAAATTTTCCAGAAGAATAAAATAAAACCTCCTCGAACCTTACCACAGATATTTTTAAAAGCAGACCAGAAGTACTAATATTTAGGTGAAGAATTAACACAATCTGAACTTCTTTTACACTTCAAATACAAACTTTCTTTTTTTCAAAATGAATTAGAAAGCAAAATTAACATAACTCTTCAATAGTTTCTCCAATTTCTTCACTCTGAAAGAAATTTAGAGTCAGTAGACTCTGCCATTAGAAGTAAACTAGCAAATTTTTTTTGTTGACACAATGAATTTGTTTCTTTTGCATTTCTAAATAGCAAGAGAACACCACAGCTGATTTATCTCAAGACATCTCAAGTCTTAGTAAAATTGTATCAGGAATGGCCCTCCCTGGTGGCACAGCGGGTTAAAGCACAGCACTGAGAATCTAAAGCCACTTCCGCATGAGTTCGATTCCCGCCTGCCCTGGAGATGACAACATGGCGTGGCAGACCTCTCCTGACCCGCCCGCTGCTCCCCTCAGCAGTGTACTTCGTCAATCTGCCTGTTCTATTCCCCACTCTGTCTCTGGTGAAGCCTCTCGCCTCCCCTGAGCTTCTGGCCTGTACCCCAGTTCTGTATGTACAAATAAATAAATCTTTAAAAAAAAAAAATTTTATCAGGAAAACCTTCACTGGAATTCCCACTAATTGAACTTAATTTGGGTGACTATATTGCTATACACAGGTACCTCAGAAACATTTCATACAAAAGCCTTTAACTTTACGCCACACACTCCTTTTCCATTCCTTAGGTGTTTTACAACCACAGGGAGATTTTATGAAAGAAAACCAGGAATACCTGTGGCTTCATGAAGGTACAGCATACACAGCATTATATGAAAGCAAGGTAAAGTACAGCCAACTGCAGCAGTGTAATCACAGCCCTTTGGGGTAGGAGAAACTAAAAAAGTCAAAACTGTCCTTCAACTCACTGATCTTGTGTTTGAAGGGGAACAGTCAACGAATTGTAATATAAACAAAAGGACTTGGAGAAGCCAAAAGCAGAAGTCAACCATAGGGCAAATATGAAAATTCTACTTTTTTTCATGTAGTAAAAAATTAATACTAGCAGTTTAGCAGACTTCTTTCCTAAAGATCATGGACTCAGGTTTCTATATTAAGATGTAGTGCAGAATAAACTATAGTTAGCAAGCAGAAGAGTTCAAAAACTTAGCTCAATTAACTTAAGGGCATTATTCTGATTGTTCCCTTCATTCTCATATATGTGTACTTCTAAGTGCACTGCCCCTTTTTTTTTCTTAAAAAAAGATTTATTTATTTATGCATACAGAACTGGGGTACTGACCAGAGGTACTGAACAGCACTCAGGAGTAGTGAGAGGATTCCTCAGAGACAGAGTGGGGAGCAGGACAGGCAGATGGAGAAAGTACACTGCTAAGGGGAGCCGTGGGCTGGTCAGCAGAGGTCTGCCCAGCCATGTGGGTCACTCCGGGGCTCAGGTTCGAACTCACACTGAAGAAGTTGCAGCTCACTTGCAAAGCAGTGCTTTAGCCTATAGTGCCACCAGAGAGGGCCCCTAAGTGCATTGCTTTTAAAACAATTTTAGAAAAATACTCATTTTAGAGCTGACAGGTTGGACAACATGATGGAGATATACTATGCTTTTAGACAGTATATCTTCATATTGATGTCTAATCTCCCAAAAGTGAGTAAGCAAAAACAAGTACTTCTATATTCTGTGAGGATTATTAATTTCACCTTTTTTCTTAACCAGGACACACATTATCTTTTCTGGTACTAAGTTAGCTTCCGTAAACAACACCTTATTAGAGAAGGGGTAACCTCTGAAATTGTCTTGTCTATTTCTCCCAAATGCTTTTGCTACTCACAAATAGGAATCATTAAACAGGCTTTGAAAGCCACTAATTTATATCATAATCACCCAATTCTCATGTAAAATTATAAATTCCTTAATGATAAAGACACTGTTTTTTTCAAAGTCCAGGAACATTATTTTGTACCTAAGTTCATATTAAATTATATTCCTGTGCTTGACATTGAAAGCTTTCTGGTAGCTGACAAGAGTAGGATGTAGAATGATAAAGGGTAACTGAAGCTTTAAAAAAAAAAAAAAAAAGACTAGGAAAGTCACCTTGTTTCCAAATGCCTGAGAATAAAAAATTTCTACAATATGGCAGCAATTTTTCCCCGTTTCATAAGCTTAGAAAGTAGTTCAGGGCCCTCTCTGGTGGTGCAGTGTGTTAAAGCACAGCACTAAGAACTTAACTTAATGGCACTTCAGCATGAGTTCGATCCCCAGCCCAGGAGGTGATCTATGTGGCGAAGTAGACCTCTCCTGACACAGCCACTGCTCCCCTCAGCAGTGTACTTCGATAGTTGGCTCCCCACTCTGTCCCTGGTGAATCCTCTCACCACCCCTGCACCTCTGGCCTATACCCCAGCTTTGTATGCATAAATAAATAAATTTTTAAAAATAAAGTAGTTCAGAAGACTGCATTTGACACATTCAATTTCTAACAGTTATATACTTACAAGCTGGACTTCTGCTTTATCTAAATGTCTGCTGAGTGCTTTCAAGGTCTCTACATAAATATAAAAGTGATACTCTATGTAGATTTAACAGCATTCAGTTAAGTTAGGCATTAATTACGCCTCTTCTTAAGCCCACTAAGTAGGGGAAGCTACTACCAAGAAAGAAATGCTCTAGAATGTATCTATGGGGGCCAATTCTAAGTGCATTATAATATTACCTTAATAACATCAAGATTAAGAAGGTTTTTCCACCGTGACTCAGGAAGAAGCGATAAAGTCACCAACTGCTCATTTAGTTGTTCTGGGGAATCATATGTTACCATTTCATCACTTTGTTCTACAGTTTCTTCCAGTAATTCCACATCTTAAAAGAAAAAAAAATTCAGGTAAAATAATTAATGAAAATTAAGATTTTTATCATAAAAGTAATGCATCAATAATTTCAAATCCATTTTGTATTTTATAACGTGCTCACTCACTACATACTTATAAATTCCAGAAATATTTCCTTGCCCCTCCCTTTGTATTTATTTTTTCACATAAATGACAACTCCCATTCCAAGACTCACAGCGACTCTCCACTGGGATACTATTAGCTATCAATGCAGAATCAGTAATAATTTTGCATACAGTCATGAAATATTAAAAAATATTTCTCAGTTAAAAAATACTTTAATTGCACTTAGTTTTACTTTCAGCTACAATGCTAAATTTACATTATTATATTTTTGATTACCTTGTGTTTGACAAGTACCAGGTAGTGTTACTACTGAAGGAACATAATCTACTGGAAGTGGCCGCAATGAAACAACTGAATATAGGGAAATGTTGGACCTGACAAATGAAAACATAAGCAATTTTTTTTATAAAAACAGCTTTTCAGAGACTTCAGTTAGTAGTAGTAGTAATAGCATAAATCTTGAATTTGTCTACAAATTCCAACCATAAGTTAAGAAAAGACCTCAAAAATAGATAAATGCTTAACGCATGTTAGAGATGTCATCACAAGAAAGATGTACATAAAATTTTTCTAGATCAAGATGACATGACATTTATTGTGAATGACCACAGATTCTTACAGGTCTTTCGGTGAAGCTAAAACATCACCATAGATATAAAGGTACAGTTATGAAGAATTATGTACTTAGAATGAATCTTAGAAAAGCACTATGCCCACGCTGGTGCCCAAATTTACAGAAAAAGCAGGCTGAATTTGAAAACTGATGGGCCAAGATCATAAAGCAGTAGGTAGTGGGGGATGCCAGGAAAGTAAAGGCCTGGCTGAGGACTCCTTTTTTCCTTTCTGAAATTTTTAAATTCACTTACTTTTTCAGAAAACAAAAGTCAAACAAATAAAAATATATTATGTGCTTTACAATGACTTGGCAAAGCTTTCTAAGTAGGAAAGCAGATGTTGAATTGGTCATAGATTGAATTAACTTTCAGGGCTAACTATGACATTTCCACTTTATAAATTTATTTTTAAAAAATAAATTTATAAATGACGAAGAGGTCTCTTCCCCACCTGTGCCTACACAGGTGCTTCTCTTCATCAACCTTCTCCCTCTGCAAAGCAGTGGAGGCATCTATCCGCCCATGCTGCCCCCCTGTGACTATCAGGCCACTCTTTTGACAAGCATGTCTTTTTGCCTGCTTGTGTCTGTGCAAGTGTCCTTTACTTCCCTTTCCTTTTTATAGTGAAACTACCCTTCTGAACGTTTACAAAAAATAAGTTAAATGACTATGTCTACAACTATGTCTGACAATATTATCTTCCTTCTCTTCTTTACCCAAAATAGAACTATAGAAAACACTCACCATAGGTAAATTCCAAGGTGGTCCACATGAGAAGTGGCCAGAAAGTCTCCAGTTGGGGACATAGTAACATTGAGAGGGGCAGAATCCAATAAAAAGCTGTCTATAAGGCTATACAAACAGAAGATATTAACACATTTAAATTCTACTGAAACTGGCAGAATTCACAAAACATAGTTTTCCTAAAAGAAAAATGGCTAAGACATGCAAAGTATTTGTTTCACTAACATCAGAAATTCATGACTAATAGCTTTGTCAAATTAATTCTCTTAATGAAAATAAATTCTCTTAATGAAAAAGTTCAAAACACTAAGTAGGCCAATTAATTGGAGAAGGTGTTTCAACAACAGAAAGAATACAGGAGGAAAATGCTGTTTTCCTAGAATGGTATTTTGGCAAACTACTAGGAGAATTCTGAAGACATGAGACATTTAAAACCATAAGGTAGTATGGAAATAGTCTCAGAGTTTTAACTTGCTAGAGGAGTTGGGGAAGATAGGGGGACAAACACATTCAAGAGACTCTAGGCCATCTAAGAGAACACAGAATTTGAAATGAGCCTTACAAACAGAGGATTTCAAAGAATGCTAATGGCAAAGAAGGCATTTCTTAGAAGCAACAATGTGTGGAGGGAAGGCAAGGGAAAACATAAATGGTCTAGTGAGGAGTACAGTTTGGTGCAAAAGCAAAAGGCTGTGAAAAGGGTCATAAATACCAATTTATTGAGATTTTGAAAAAATATTTCTTTAAACATTTAAGAACTGGGGTACAGGCTAGGGGTACAAGGGGTAAAAGGATCCACCAGACAGAGTGGGGAGCAAAAAGGAAGATAACTGAAATACACTGCTGAGGGGAACAGTGGGCAGGTCAGGAGAGGTCTGCCACGCCATGTGGGTCACCGTCACTTCCCTGGCTGGAAATCAGACCCGTGCTGTAGTGGCTTTGGAGAGCTTCATAGTGCTGTGCTATAACCCACTGTGCCACCAGGAAGGGACCCTTGAGATCAATTTTATCTTTTAATCAGTGACTAGGTGCTGAAGGTTTGGGAGCAGAGAGTGGTATAATCTTCACTTTCATAAGAAAATTTTCCATCAGAACACATTTGAAAAAGAAGAACAATGAAGGTTATGGGGGTTGTCATCTAATAAGATCTAAAATAAGAAGTTTGTAGTAGCAAGTGAAACAAGGTGGATTTAAGGAGCAGAGAGAAAGATCCAACATTTGAAATCCTTCAGGAGAGCCTTCAGGATGGCTCAGAGTGTGAATACACTGTCAATACTCTGCCGTGGGAGGGTATAATGGCTTTAAGCCCAGCTGATCTGAAAACTACTTTATTCACTGATACAAATACACTATCCACCAGGAGTGCACAGCAAAAGATCGAAGAATATTAAATAAATTTTTAAAGTAATTATAAATAATAAATTTTTTTTTCTGAGAAAACATTAATAAATTCCCATTCTAAAGGAAATTAGTGCTTCTGAATAGGACATATCCTAAACATTTTAGTCTATCAATCACTCTCAAAACCCTCGATGGAGCAGTTCCATCCTTCTTGTATCAGAAACTCAGGGTTGGTCAGATTCAAAAACCTACTCAGTGTTAAAGACAACTGCATCAGTACTGCCACCACAGCAATCTCCTCTAGGAGTCACTTTACACCCTAGTAGAGCCACTATGTGAGGTGCAGTAAATAGTACTGTATCATATACACCCAGGGGCTGCCTACTCTATTGACTCACGGAACACGCTCCAAACAAACTCTGTCAATACTTTCCTGGGAGACAGTAGGGACATTTCAATAATAAAACTTATCTCAATAAAAATGTAAATCTGAAATAGTGAGTACAAGATAGTTAGACAAAACTAAAACTAGAAATGCTAGAAATAAACCCAGGCCAAAGTAGACTTAGGATGATGAATGCTACTGAAGTCCCAATTATGGGGAAAAGATGAGAAATAACCTGTCTATTACTGCACAGATGTCCAAGCAGTAGTTTTCAATGGAGAGTCAAGATCTCAATAAATCAGGAAACAATAGCTAAGCACTAAAAATACTTGTACAAATTCATTTATTCTAAACCATAAAAAAACATTATCTCACTATATATAGATGAAGATTAACCTAGAACATTGTATCTTTGTTTTGATCAACTTTTGTTCATCAAAAGTGTAACTCAGGGAGGAGTGAAACTTTCAAGTGTGTTCAGTAATTGTTAAACAAAAAATCTACTGCTTGAACAAATTTAGTTTACTTGATACTATAGCTGTCAAGTTTATTGTGCAACTTGATTTCCACAGCTGTTGTGTGTGGGTAGACTGATCTTCCATCATTTAAAAACATCAAATTGAGGAAGGTGTTTTCCACACATACAGCATATTTTATAAAGCGTATGTGTGCAGGTTTCATTCCAGATTAATTACTATACAGTCTCCTGCTAATACTACAAAATGAAAAGTTACAGGTAAATTATTTTTCTGAGAGAACATAAATAAAATTCCCATTCTCAGGAATCAGAGTGACAAGCAAAGGAGCCCTGCACACACAGCTAACTCTCAGTAACTAATTTCTGATTATATGCTGAACAAAGGCAGATAGCTTCTAAAAATTCTATCACCAAAGAAATGGAATCACCTTAGAGAGAACTTTAAATGAACAGAACAGGATGGTTTCACAATACAATGTTCTACTACAACTGTTTCTCTGAAAGTCTGACAAGCACAAAACAATATTTAACAGCTTAAAAAAAACTTCAACAGATGGTAGGAATGCAAACTAGTACAACCACTATGGAAAACTGTTTGGAGGTTCCTCAAACTGCTTAACATGGAGCTTCCCTATGACCCAGCAAACCCACTCCTAGGTATCTACCCAAAAGACACAAAAACACTGATTGAAAAAGATACCTGCACCCCCATGTTTACTGCTGCTTTATTTACAATTGGAAAAACATGGAAGCAGCCCAAATGCCCAAAAGTAGATGACTGGATTAAAAAGATGTGGTACATATATACAATGGAATATTACTCAGCAACCAAAAAAGAGAAACACATGTTTTTTGCAGCAACTTGGATGGAGCTGGAAAAGATCATGCTTAGTGAGATAAGCCAGAAAGAGAAAGAAAAATACCGGACGGTTTCACTCATAGCAGGAGTATAAAGGACCAGGCGAGAAAATAACAAAAATAATGAACAACCATATACCAGAGACATTTTGTGGGGGTGGAGTGGGGAATGGGATCAAAAACGGGGGGGTGGGGAGGGAAATGCACTGGATTATGGTGATGGCACACAGGTAACTTGGTGATGGGAAACCCGCGGGGATTACAATTGAGATGGAAAAAAAAATGTACAAAATGATGTAAAAATAAACTTTTGCAAAAAAAAAAAGAAAAAACTTCACCAGAAACAGTTCAGCAACTGTGCAACTCCAGCTGGATATGTCACCACACCCAGTGGTTTACTCATAGATAGTTTCACTTTTTAGGCTCTACAATGAGTATATTCATTCTTTAAATATTTAACATGCCATATAAATAATGAAATTGCTTACTGAAGAAAAGACTGAGGAATCACCAAAGTTTGCCACTCTAATTACATTTAAAACAGAAAAGAGGGGAAGTCAAAAATACCAAGTTACTAAGGTTAGATCCTCATTCCCTTAATATCTCCTATATCGAGAACATCAATTCACCCTTAGAACATATGACACAATGTGAAGAAGGCTGACATCACAACAACTGGGAAATCTACTTCTGTCTCCTACACTTATTTGTGCTTTCTATCTACAAACTATACCACACCTTGAGAAAAATCACTGTAAAATGGGACTACAAACAGTAATAGTATCTATACTTATCAAGAAATGAGAAAAGATGAAAAATAAAATTATACAGCAGCTCATAATAAATATTAATTTAGTTGTGATTAGGCAGGCGGTGGCAGCAGCTGTAATACTATTTTTCAAACTTCCTCATTTAAAATCTGAGCCAAAGAAGTACTAATGTATTCCATTAATAAAATCGTATTTTTGTCCAGTGTGTATTTTTTAGTTTTTTAACAACTCTTTCTTAACAAATGAGCTTTAGGTGACTAGTTTCTTGTTCTTGTATTTATCCTGGCTTCAAGCCTCTCTATTCACATAAAACTGCCTCAGTGTTCACCAAAAAATAAGATACAACAGTTGAAAACCCATCTAAGAATGTGTAACTTTTTACTGAAATAAGAAATTTAGCAAAAAGGGAATAATGTTGAGTCAAAAGTAGGTGGTTTCCTAATTCTTTCACTCCTAAGACAAAACACCACATTTTAAAAACATTTTGGCAATTTTGTATTACTAAGTAGTACTCCCTCTCCCATTTAACATGGCGTAAAGTAATTAAACAGAAAATGAAAAAGGCATTAGGTCAACTCTATTATCTGAAGCAACTTTCCTACTGTAAAAGCAATTCAAGTTACAATGTTCATTTTCAAAAATAGTGAAAGGCCAAGAAGCAAGGAACTACTACTTTCTAATGGTACCCATAAATTTATTTTTTGTTTTTAAATTAAGTGTGAACTTTTGTGAATTTTTTAAAGTTGGAGGAAACAGCCATTGTGCTTCACTCTACACTGGTAAAAAGAAACACACTTGTGGCTAAAAGTCCCTAGTTATGACAGCTGGGTCCAAGGACAACACTCTTTGCTGTGCATTTTCCAAATCCAGCATGTATGCAGGGTAAGTAGGCAGGTGTGCCTCATTCCTCTACCACCCTTGAAGGGAAATGAAGACATCAGGGTTTTTCCTTTCTAAAGGTCAAGTGCTTTCAGGTATGAGCTTATCCAATTACTGAGAAAGATGAGGAAGTATAACTGAACAAAATTAATTTAGAAATATTTCAAAGAAAAAAAGTAGTAATTTCCTTCCCATTTCTCTCTTCTAGCTCTTTCCTGATGTTAAATTTCTGTTATATTAAATGCCTTGTTATTACCAGTATGCCTTCTTTCATGCTCTAAGTAATTATAAGTGACATAATTTTAAAGTGTATCTATTCCTATATAAACACATAAATTGACTGCACTCTGGTGAAAGTGGACCCCACGTACACTTAGACCACCACTGTTTCAAATGATTTAATGGAATTAGAGATTGTTTTCTCATCAAGTGCTAGTTTAGTAACAAGTTTCAACAGAAAAGACGTATTTCTGAACATGGCTTGGTATTACCCAAATCTTCTTTTTTTTTTTTTAAGATTATTTATGCATACAGAACTGGGGTACAGGCTAGAGGCATAGGTGTGGTGAGAGGATTCACCAGAGACAGAGTGGGGAGCAGAACAGGCCGACCAAGGAAGTACACTGCTGAGGGGAGCAGTGAGTGGGTAGGGCAGGTGAGATCTGCTGTGCTGTGTAGGTCACCTCCGGGAGGGGACGGAACTCATGTTGAAGTGGCTTTAGCTTCTTAGTGCTGTGCTTTAACCCACTGTGCCACCAGGAAGGGCCTGGTACTTTTAGCACTTTATTCAAAATGTCTTATTCAAGACTTACGTTACAGAGAAAATAAAATTTGCATAAAGGACAGTTAGATTTTTGACTTTTTAAATCCAGTATGAACTAACAATAAAAATCCCTCAAATGAAAACTCTACAATCACAAGTATAAACTATTTTGTATTAGAAAAAAACGACAAGTAAGCCTTCTTGAAATTTATGCAGCACAGTTCTATATTTCCCTTTGGCAAGAAATGAAAGCCTAGGTTTCCTTGCTATTATTTTCTTCTGGTACAGTTCTCTGCTGTTTAAAAAGATGGGAAACATTACAAAGATAAAACAGAATCAGGTTAAAAAAATTCACAAATAGATCCATATTCAAAAGTCATATAATCTTTTAACTATAACTAAAACTCACATGTAAAGTCAGTGACTAAGAAATCATCTGAGGCCCTCCCTGGTGGCGCAGCAAGTTAAAGCACAGTACTAAGAAGCTTAAGCCACTTCCGCATGAATTCGATC